CAAATGCTTAAAAAAAAAGAAAAGAAAAACAATAAGCAAGAAACATAATAAGTAAGTAAATTGTGTGGAAAGTGGTAAGTACTATGGAAATAGGAAGTGAACCAGATGGGGAGATCTGGAATTAGGGGCTTAAAGTATTAAATATGGGGGCCTCATAAGGAAGTGACTTCCAAGAAGTGACCCCTATACACATTCAAGGTACAAGCAAATACCCAGGCCACTGTCAGGACAGCTAAATAACAACAATAATAAGTATTTGCAAGTCACATTACAGTTTACAAAGCACTCTTTAGCACACCCCCTTTTAATTAATTCTCACATCTCAGTGACATAAGAATCATCCTTCCCATTTTACAGACAGGACCACTAGCACTTAGTGAAGTTAAGTGAGTGATCATGAAGTTAAGCGACAAGATCATAAAGCTTGTTGGTGGCAGAGCTACAAAACCAAAATCAGGTCTCTTGATTGTAAGTATATTTAAAATAATCTTTTTGAGGTCACAAGAACTGAGGATGGAGGCAGTGGCGGCTCAGGGGTAGAATTCTCACCTTCCACACAGAGACCCAGGTGTGAGTCCCAGCCAATGTGCTTCAAGCACAGCTGGTCCTGACTTGTCAGTGGATGCTTGCATGTTTCTATGAGGCTTAACAGGTTTCAGCAGAGCTTCCAAATCAAGACAGTCTAGGAAGAATAGCCTGGTTACCTAGTTCCAAACACCAGCAAGTGAAAACCCAATGGAGAACAATGGTCTGAACCTGTTGTGCGTGGGGATGCTGCAGGGTTGGGCAATGTTTGCACCACTATGCACAGGCTTATCATGAATCTGGAGGGGGGTGGGGTGAAGGGCAACTCCAGGGTCGCTAACAACAACAACAACAAGGATTGAGGAATTCCAGAAAACCCCAGGAGGGAAAGCTTGGGGCTCAGAGTTATAAAATCAAAATTGTTTTTAAAGGATAACAAAGAAAAAAAAAAAAAGAAGAAGAACAGAGGGAAGGGGCTCAGCACGCACTCAGAGACCCCAAAAAGCTTGACTCAGGATTGTGGGGGTTGAGTAACGTAGCCGAGAGGCACACTCAGTGGCCAAGAGGAAGGGGCTACCAACACAAACATTGATTAATGTTGCAGCCTTGCCTAGAAGGACACAAGGCCAGACTGCCAGGGACAGCTAAGGCCTGCCCTAAAGTAAGGCAACACATGTCCCTGTCATGGTTTTGGAAATGGGCCAAGGGAGGAGTAAGCACATTTCATCATCAGGGATAGAAAATGACCAAGCCAGAGAACAGAAGCTAAGACTGTTAGCTCTTGACCTTATAAAAGCTCCACTCTATCCCTCCAATTTACAGATGTGAAACTGAGGCCTAGGGAGGCTGAGGGACTTTTCCAAGCCACCCTAGCACAAGCTGATCTCTCCATGTCCCAGATGGAGTGGAGAATGGTCTTGAATCCAAGGCTTCAATGAGGAGGGAGGACAAATAGGAGTCGTGTTGCCCAAAGAAGCCAGCAGAAGGCACATGGTGACATGCTGAAGCCCAGAGCAGAGGAAAGGAGTGGGTGGAGGCGGCTGGAGCAGAAACAGGGCTTAGAGGGCCCTCAGACTAGCATGGAGTCAGGATCTCTTAGGTGCCCAGGCACCCAGCATGGTGAATCCAGTATGGCTACTTGTAAATTATCTCTCCTTCCCCCAACACCAGCAACCCAGAGCCAGGGGCTGGGGGTAGGAGAATACAGGATAGCTTAGTCTCCCAGTGCTGCTCTAACAGAAATACCCCAAGTGAGTGGCTTTAAAGAACAGAAATGTCTATGGTACAAGCAAATACCCAGGCCACTGTCAGGACTGCTAAATAACAATAATAAGCATTTGCAAGTCACATTACAGTTTAACAGTGTACAAAACACTCTTTAGCACACCTTGTTTAAATTAATTCCCACAACGCCATGGCCCCTGGTGACTTGTCAGCCTGTAGTCAGCTGCCAACTTGTATCCTGCCTCAGCATCCTCAGCTATAAACACAGGCAGTGGGGTGGAGAAAAACTCATCCTGGCACATGTGGTGTCCCCCACTGAGCTGGCACAGGCATAGGGACAAAGCAGCTAGGGTAAGAGGTTTAGCATTTATTGAACCTACTATGTGCCAGACAACCTGCCAAACACTTTTCGAACATTATTTCAAAATTAATTCTCTCAACCACCCTACAAGCATTCGTTTCCTCATTTCAGAGTCAAAGAAACTGGGTTTCAGTGAAATAAAGCAACTTGCATAACTAGCTTGTGAGAGTTCCAGTATTTGAATTCTGCCTAACACCAAAGCCCAAGGCCCTGTCCTCACTAGACACACCTACACACACACACACACACCAGAGCTGCCTCCTGCACCCTTCTTGTCATCATTTCCTCCAACAACCAGACTTCCATTGGCAGGGTGCCTTAGAACTGCCTGAGCCAAGAACCAATCTGTGTTACCCCCATATCATTGCCACCAGGTCTTCCTCCTGTCAGTCAAGCCTGAACCCTGAAGCTACTTTCCTAAAATCAGAAGTCCTGCAGGATGTCTTGTCCCAAGTTATGGACTGAATTGTGTACCCCTAGATACATATTGATTTTGGCCAATAATGTTGTGATTTAACTGCATGACCAAATCAGTTGGCCCTGGTAGAGCTGATTATCTTCCCTACTGTGATCTAATGTAGTGCAATGTGACCAATCGGTCAGGTGAGGTCATACTGGTGTAGGGTGGATCCCAAGCCTAAGCATTTCTGAGTTATCAAAAGAACAGAGTAGACACAGAGG